ATATTCTGTATTGCCATTTTTTTGGAGTCATCTAAGTCATTGCCTCTAAATCCATTATAGCCAATCGTGGAAGTCTTTCTTTTCGTTGAATGCTTCTATCTAGTTTTATTAATTAAATGAAAATAACTTTATTCAAGACCGAACCTGAACTCGGCTGTTCGAATTCGATGCAGGTCTAGTTAGAGTTAACAATAGAATATGGTTATTTTATATTGATTTTCATCATCACGAACCAATACAAAAAGACAAGACCGAGTTTCTGTACTTATTAAACAACTAAAAATTATTTTGAAATATTGATAGAAATTTTCACGAGATCATAAAATTTATTTTTATTCATATGAGATATGCTATTTATTTTCTTGAATCCTTTTTGTTTTAGTATTGATTTATTCTTATTAGAAATTTTTATTTGATTATTAATTAAAATTTCTTATTTTTTCTAAATAAATAAACGATAAATATGTCAAAGCTATTGGACAAATACAAAACATAATGTTAAAACTCATTTAACAAAATTAATACCAGAATATGTTTTCCAAACGTCTGTATTGGTTGTTGTTTGATTTGAAATGAAATCGATTGTATCATAAAAGACTAAATTATTATTAAATAGCAGATCTTTAGACTTAACTATAGATCATTCACTAATTAAGATATGCTAAATGGGTCAATGATTACTATGAATAAATATAAACATTTAGAAGTCAAAATACAATATGTATTAAATTTAAAGTAACATTTTTTTTCAATGTCTTATTACTTCGATGTCACACACACATTGTTTTTGCAAGCTTTATTAAGCGATCGTTTGCAGTTCGACATCGTGTAAAACAACATATCAGAAAAACATTAAAACAGACTTATATCAATTCAACATACGATTGAAACAATGAAAGTTGTAGGATCTATTTGATAAATATATTCAAAACATAGCACTTAGTCAATACTGATATTTAACTACTATGAACTTATTACTTTCATTAAATTATTAATTTTATGCACATAGAAACAAATCCAAATACTACTCATGTATTTCATTACGATATCAAATGCAATTGTTTCTTCAACGGATTATCAGAAATGATTAGAAAACACTTCGAAACCATTTACAATCTTTATAATGATTAATTATACAATAAATTGTATAATAGAGATAAATAAGAACCATAATTAAAATACAATGAGTTGACATAAAAATTCTTACACTAGAAAAAAAGAAACACAAGGAGTGTCTTTTACATTGTTGATGAGTTTGAGAATATGATTCCTAAGAATCAAGTTGCTATGTATATAATTATTTTGATCTAATAAAATTTCAACAACAAAACTAATCGATCAAATATCAATAACATTGTTGACCGTAAATAATTTAGATACAACAGAGAATTTATGTTTTATTCATGAAAAACTCATTTTATTATTATTAATTGTTAAACTATTTTGTACTCAACTCAAGACATTCACGTGATACAAAGTCTATGGTCTTTGGTATATCAAAGTCTATTTTGTAAGCGTAAATTCATTAAAAAAAATAAATGATTCATGTCAACATCAAACCAGATGTATATTATGCGTCGTATTGTAGAATATATTTACTTAACCTTTTTGTTTTCATCGCGTGATTGTATGCATATTGATTTTAAGAAACTGTAGTCATGTTATGATTCATAATTACCATGACAACAAAATTCTATGTTCCATATATCATATTATGTAATACAATATTCAAGTTAAATGACACTTGAATAATAAAATGACTAATATAGTAATTCAATATGATTATTTGTTTTTTTTTTCTTGTTAAAGATCGATTCTGTTTTACTCAATAATGTTACATGACACATTATTATTTGTATCAGAATTACGTAGTTTCACAATAAATATATTACTATAGCAATATACACGAGAAAAAAAAATATCCGATACAGAAAGAAAAAACAAATTTTATTTGCAAAAAATTTCATTCGTAATCATGAATAATCATATTCGAGTATGCTGTCAAAAATCTTAACAATATCTATCATGTTACTCAATCTTTAAATAAATATTAATAAAATAAATGCATTGGTATACATCACCAATTTCATATTCATTTTTATCACATTTGTTTTAGTACGTGTCTGCATGTTAAATAACAAAATTGACAAAAAATACTCTATGAAATAGATATATGTTTTTTTGCTTTTTTGTTATTTTATTTGTTCCATAGAGAATGAAAACTACTAATACTGAGAATAACAAACGAACGTGATAATAGATAGAAGAGAAACTAGAGAAAAAAGAACCATATCAATAGAACCAATGAAAACGAAAAATTCAGTTGAGTTTTTTTTTCTTTTGTCAAAAGTGTTTTTTAAAGAAACACCTTTTTTTTTTTTGTTTGTCTTGTCTTTTTTTGTTTTTTATTGCCTGATATGTGAAAGTCTAAGAAAAAGAGAGAAGAAACAGACGCATATCATCTTGAGTACATGAGTTTAAAGTAGAAGAAAGAAAAAAAAAACGATGAAAAACATCGAAGAACAAAGAAAACAAAAATGAACGCCATATGTTTATTTTTTATGTTTATTTTTTTTGTTTTTTTGCTTGAGAGAATGGGGAGAGATAAAACAGGACGAATTCGACACTTCGTATTCAATCCAAACAGCCTCGAAAAGGGAATATTTAAGAAATGAAATCATCATATTCGCTAATCATTCGAATGGACAGAAAAAAGGAAACGTAAAAGAGAGAGAGAGCCTTTTTTTTCTATAGATCATTGAATTGTAACAACAGCTGCATCTTCAACGAAATCTTCAAGTATCCATGGTAACATATCATCTTCAACTTCATTTGAGCAATCACTTGAATTATGACGCATAACAGATGTATCAACTACATATTTTCGTGGAACAGTTTGAAAAGCAGATTTTACCGAATCCCTAAACACAAAAGCAAAAAAAAAATAAATAAATAGATGAAATTTTTTTTTGATGGAAAAAATTTTTTTTTTTTTTTTTTTTTTTTTTTTTTTTCATTAAAAAGATTGGCTCAGACTTCCAAAGAAGGCATTTTAGGTAAATGACTGGCCTCACATGTGAGAAATTCGAGTGGAAACTGCGTAACAGGAATAAACATCATCATCGCCAATCTTAGTTCGAATCAAGATTCGAACATAGGTTATCCTTATTCATATGTGTTAAACAAATTCAACCATATTGATTACTTACCAAAATTGTTTCGACATGAAATAAAGTGGTTTACCAAATGGAAGACCATTAAATTGTACAGCAGCTGATATTGTATATGCACCCATATTTTTCCATAAAACCCAATCACCAATATTTAATTTTGGTATTTCAATCGATTTATTAATACAATCAAGACCATCACATGTTGGTCCCCAGATTGATGATGTATATTTTTCACTTGATTCCTTCTATATTAAGATAAAGAAAAAAATAAAATAAAATAATTAGAATAAATAAAAGAAGTTATTTTTTTTTCTATTTAATAGATAATGATGATTAATACTAACCTTAGCAATTAAATAAGGTTCAGGTACATAATGATCATAAAGAACACAATTGAATGAACCATAAACACCATCATTGATGTAATACATATATTTCAAATTACCCGTTTCTATTTTATAGAAAAAAAAACTTGATAATATTTATTTAACATAAAGAATATACAAACCTGAATCGATCATTTCTCGTGTAGCAATAACATTTGTAGCTAATGCATATGCTGAAGCAACATAATAACGACCTGGTTCAGCTATAATTCGAATATTTCCATCATCTGGAAAATGTTCATCAAGTGTTTTATTAACAGCTGCAGAAATTTCTGAAAAATAATCTTCAGTTCCACTATTTCCTGGAAAACCACCACCAATATCAAGAAGATTCATATTAAAACCTAATTTAATTCCATAATTCATAATTATTCGAGCATTTTGTATAGCATCAACAAATGCTTTGCTTGTCATTTGACCACTGCCACAATGAAAACTATAGAACAAAACAAAATCATATTATCGAAGAATTCATGTAATTTTTTGTGTTTCTTTACCTAACACCAATGATTGTCATATCAATTTCCTGAGCTTTATCAATTAATTTACGTGCTGTATTCATATCAGCACCAAATTTCATTGAAAAACGACAAACAGCATTAGAATCATCTGTTACAATACGTAAAACAAGTCTAATAAAAAATGAAAACAAAATAGAATAATTTATTTAAAAAAAAAAACAAAAATGCACTTACTTAGCATTCGGATATATCTGTTTAATTTTCATTAATTCTTGTTCATTATCAAATGTCATAATTTCAACGCCAGTTTCTTGTGCATAACGTATATATGATGATTGTTTACATGGATTAGCATAAATAATGCGATCAGCTAACAAAAAAAATAATTCAAAATAAAAAAAAAACAAAAATAATAATTACTCACCTGATACACCTAAATCCATAACCTTTTTAATTTCTCCCTAAAAATAAAAATTCAAAAGATTATTTTCAATAAAAATAAATTAATTTACTTTGCTTGCACAATCAAAGCCAGCTCCAAGATAGGCAAGTAGTTTAATAACATTAATATCATCGTTACATTTAACAGCTATGAACAACACAAAAAAAAAGAAATTCTTATTTTCTAAAAAATTAAATAAAAAACTAACCATAATGTGGTGTTACACGAGGCATTGATGTAAGCCAACGAATATGTTTATTGCAAACATCTTCAAGATCGACAGCAAAAAAAGGTTCAACTTCATCTTTCTAAAAACAAAGAATAAATTTATATATAGAAATTAATTGTAAACAAATTTGTATAAAATTATTTTACAAGTAAATCAATTTTCTTTTGAATAAACTCTTCAGCTGTATATTGAGCTTTGGTAACAACAATTGAATTATCTTTTATCAAATGCATTTTAATTTTGTGTTTAAAAAAAGAAAAATTTGTTCGAAAGAGGAAATGCTAATTGAATTGAATACGAAGTGTCGAATTACTATAAATATTAAAATAATAATTAAATTAAAAATATTAATAAAATAAAATTAAACTTACAAAAACGATAGAGGGGAGTTGTTCAGCGATTAAATTCCAATGGCGGGTGCTATCGAAGTGGACCCGGTGTCCAAGGAAATTCAGGCAAGACAGAAGACGAACAACTATATACCAATAATAATAAATAAGTTTTGGCAATAAAGCCCTATTTGATTTTAAAAAATAGAAATTAAATAAAATCATTAATTTTAATTATTTATTAAAACAATAATAATTTCAACATACCTTAATAGAAGCACCCCACCCTTTGTCTTCGATACAAGTTTTGGACAATATTTTCGGTGTCTTCACAAAGACAAGTTAAAATATCTTTCCTATTCGACTACACACGCACAAGTAAACTTTCAACTTCGATGTATATATATATGTGTGTGTGTGTTATAGAAACGAACGACGGTTGTTAGACGAAAAGTAAATGTGCAATAAAATGAAGAAAGAGAATTTAAATCTATAAAAAGTAAGAGAAAAAAAAAGTCGTAAATAGTTAGGCAAAGAAAGAAACACCGAAAGAAAAGACAGAAACAAAAAATATCGAACATATTAGTGATATTATTGCTTAATAAATATGAAGTTATTTAAAATATTTATTATTCTATTTTTTTTTTATAGATAAATGATAAGATTTTAAAGAATATTATAATACTTGTGCGTTCGAGAAGGTACCTAGAAGTAAATACTGACGCATCAACTATAGCGGTTGTTGGATATAAAAAAGAACCGGATAATGGCGGATGATAGCCAATAGAATTTTTTTCTTTCTATTAGAACTAGATCTAACTTTTTTTTGTTAACCATTTCATATAAAATTAACAAAAGAAAAATCTGATTATTCATCTCATTAATAAACTATTATATTTTTCAAGTAAGAAATACTTTACCTATCTTGACATCTATATATTTATTACAGATATGTAATGAGGTCGCCAGAATTTGAAGGACAATGTTGATGGCTCAGATAATTGACTAGAATTGTTTTGCAATTATTCACTGAAACTTAAAGAGTTAAACTGGTTTTCCGAAATAGTAAAAAAAAACAACAAAACACTAAAACTTCGTTAGAAAAAAAACGAAAAATGTTTCAATTCTTATACGTAATACACACATGCACGTACATAATCCAATCATACACAACACAGAATGAAGGTGCAGGTGTGCCTATCGTGTAGACGTAAATTTATAAAAAATTGTGGGAGGGGGGAGGGACGGTCATCGACTCGAACTTTCTCTCTCCTTCATACACATACTCGAAACACTCCTGATTAATCTCTGTGAATTCTACACTTTTTATAAGTGTATGTGGCATTGAATAATGTCAAACAAAGAAAGAAACACAAACAGTTGCGTCTGTTTTTTTTTCATATGATAATCATAAACAAAGTCGTTATTTTATGTTTACTTCTGCTTGTGATAAAAAAACATTTGAATGAATATCAAAAAATTTAGAAATTCTTCTACCAGTGGATGTTTTTCTCTACAACATCTACATTAAATTGCACAGTTATATTGATTGTATATTAATGACTTAGATCTTCATAGAGAAAAACAGTGGAATAATCAAGATGAAAATAAATTTATGTATTGTAAATATTCACAATGTGAAAATACTTGTGTTTATAATTATAACTAAGTAAAAAACTGATCTACTTTCCTTAATTCAATATTTATCTATTCAATGAATATCATATATTGTTCTGTTGTTTTTTTTCTAAAGAATATATCGATTTTGGAATTTTTCAAATATTTTTATAGAATAATCAATAATAAAATTAATTGATTCATTCTTCTTATTAATTATATTTGATAATTATTTATTAGAATATGATTGTTTTTTGTTTTCAATATATATCTCTAGTACAATTGATCTTGTTCTTATAATATTAGTTATAACTTTCACATAATTATTTGAATTTTTCTAAAATATTTTAGATGAATTTATTCATTTTTGTTTTCTTAAATTTTCGATACGACTTTTAAAGAAAAACAAAAAAAAAGTTGCTGCATTATCTTTGACCATGAATGATAATTGATTATAATGCAAATACATTTAAAGAATACTTTATTAATGTATTGTATTTCAGTAAAGCGTAAAAAGAAAAGTGGATCTTGTTTTCTTGTTATTTATTACTTCAGAAAAATGAAGAATACGTAATTTATTGTAAAAAAAATTTTTCTATTGTTTGAGATTAATGTGGGTCGAATGACTTACTGTCACTAAAATATACTTGAAATCGAATTTTTCTGATACTTGCTAGATTATTCTATATAAAATTTCAATTTTCTAATTGAAACGAAATAATTATATTCTATCATAATATTTCAGCTTGTTCTTTTTTATATATTCAAAATTCAAGAATGAAAAAATAATTAGAAAATAGAAAGAAATAAACAATGCCTTTTTTCAGGTCTTTATTATGAGATTTTGATGATTATTTGTTGATATATAAATTTATTTCTCATAAAAAGTATATATTCAAATAAAAACCTTTATAAGTACTATAAAATATTTCATATCTTTGTTTTTTTTTTGGTCGTTTCATTTCCTAAAATGAATACTTATGAGGAAAGATCTCCTCATGATAAATCATTTTTGAGCTTGTACTACATTGCATTGATAGAGCCTAGTGAATAGGTAAATATTCTCAAGTGTTTTGAACTGTTGAACCACAGTTTGTGATATATAGAATTTTTCGTAGATTTTTCCTGTAGAATCCTAGTTTTCAAGTAAAATTATACTTTTAAAATTAAAACTGAGATTTAGTTCACATAAAATTTTTCATTAGATTTCCTTTTTAAAAACAAAATTGCAGAATTCTTTGACAAAGCCTTTCGGATATCGGAATTTTCCAAAATATCTATATTTTTTATAATAACCATAGGAAAGCGGCCTATGTTTTGAAAAATGCATATATCGAAGAGATTTTGTTAAAAAATTCTGAAATTTTTTTATACAAAAACTAGTCTCATCGAAGTCATTATATGAGCAAAGTCTGAGATCAGAATTCAAAAGTATGATTATGCTTGAAAACTGGAATTCTACACGAAACATTCATTATAATTTCGATATCTTAGCAATAAAAGCCCAATAATTCGAGCAACTTTAGAGTATCTAGTTATGTTTTGAGAAATGAAATTTCCAGAAATTTCATAAATCATATCGTAGTGTAAATTAAAAAATTTTAGAAATATTAGAACTTGAAGAAATTAAAGTAATTTCGAAAATATCTGTAAGAATATAATTACGTAAATTTCGAAAATGACATCATTTTCGGAAGTATCAAACAATTTATGACACATATAGTTGAAAGTTGCGAAATTTCTCCTTTTTTGGAAGTCTGAACACGACTATCGAGATATGTTCAGATTTGCCAAGAAAAGGACTTACCGAAATTTTTATACATTCGATAATCCTATAGTAGTAGAAATCAAAAGTTTTTAAAAATATTTAAAATATCCTAAGTTGTAGTAATTTCGGAAATTTTTTTTTTTTTTTGGAAACCTGAACACTGCTGATAATAAATTTAATTTTTGTTTTTAGATGTCTATCGATGACACAGTAATATTTCCGCTTGAAAATCAATTATCAACATCATTTAATGAAATAGATGATGTTGAAGTTGAAAATTTCTTTGGTTGTTATTTACTAAACAGTTTAAATCCAAACTGTAAAGGTAGAACTTATATTGGTTTTACTGTTGATCCTCATCGACGAATAAAACAACATAATAAAGGTAGAGACTTTGGTGGAGCAAAAAGAACAAGTGGAAAAGGACCATGGTAAAAATAAAAAAAGACTAATTTTATTTAAATTTTTAATCAAAAAATAAATCATTCTATTTTAGGGAAATGGTTTTAATTATACATGGTTTTCCAAATGAAATATCAGCATTACGAGTAAATATTAAATATAGAAAAAAAAAATATATATATTCTTTTCTCTCTTTTTTGTGTTTTATTTAGTTTGAATGGGCATGGCAAAATCCTGAACAATCTATACGTCTTAAACATTTAAATTTACCAAAAACAAAAAAATTTAGTCTAAAATTTAAATTAAAAATTCTTGGTGAAATGCTTTCTATTGGACCATGGACACGTTTACCACTTACAGTTCGATGGTTAACTGATAAAAAACAAATCTTAGAACGAATACCACCATTACATATGCCTATAACAAGTGGACCAATTAATGTTTCAAAACATACAAATACAATACCATCAAAACGAAAAAAAGTCAATAATCAAATTGTATCCACAAATGATAATCACACATCTTTTAATACTTGTTCATTATGTAATAATACTATAAAAGTATGTGAAATTTTTATATTGATCTATGATCCATCATCATAGTTATAGTAGCAATATTAATAAGAATAATTCTTGAAATAATATATGATACAAAAATAATAGAACAACTGTTGAATTTTTGTTTCTCTTTAATAGAAAGTTACTGAAGGATAATATTTATTTACCAAAAAATAGAGACTTTTTTTGTCACTTTTGAATCGAATATAATTTATTTTGTAATATACGTTTATCAATGAAATTTTGCGACTCAAAAAAAAGGAGTATTCTCAATATGGATCCATACTTATTCATATAATGTAGAATAATGATGCAAAATATCAATTTCTATTTCTCTTCAATTAACACATGTTGAAACAATAATTTTTTTTGATCACCTCATAGGAAGTTTTCTCCGCATTCAAAAATGAATGTAACTTAATTTTGTTAAACATTCAAAAACAAAATAGCAAAATTTCGACGAGATTGAAGTATGAAATACGATGCAGCTAATCTTAGTAATTACAAAAAGACTATCTATTTTCGAACATATTTGTAAATCATGATTTTACTTATTCCTTCAGAACTGAAAACAGGAAGTAACTCATAATATAATAAGACGTTATTGATGTGATGTTTTTGATCTTATATCACCAACATCTTGCATAGGCGATGCAGACTTGGAACCGGTCAGATTCTTTTAGACCGGACCAGCCAGTCCAAATTCTTGATTTAACCGGCAAAAAACTGGTGCATTTCAGGCATCAATTAACCAATCAGTACTTTCGACAAACAGTCTATTATTTCAGTTTGATGAAGATATACGATGTCAAACTCATAATTCTTGAAGTTTCTAATAGTAACAGCTCGTATTATAGTTTGCCACGTTTCATATGCTAACATTAAGAAGGAACGACCATTTCTTTCAAAAATATTTGACTTAGAACTCAAGCAACTAATATTGAACAACATCTAACTATGTTTTGACTGACTTTTTTCTATAACGATATGAATTCTTTACAATTGATAAGTTTAATCTATTTTTATTTGAAATAATTATTTTAATACAGCTGAAAGGCATTTCAATCCGCAAAAAAAGGATGCTACTGTAGACAGAAAGATAAGGTGAGCTAAAATGTATGGCTTTCATATTAGACTTCCTATTTAAGGTTTCTTAATATCTAAGTATTTTCACAATTACATGATGGCAGTAGTCCACAAGATCTTGACAACGGAACTTAATCTTTTCTTATATTTTGTTATGAAAGCATGAACTGAAAACTACTAGCTATTGGGATTCTATGAGAGTAGAGTAAAATTAGTCCAGAAAAGTGAACTCAAAATTTCGAGGTGAAAAATCTATAGTTTAGACCGATATTAGCTTCTAATATCTGGCTTATTTTTCGTGAACATAAACAAATTCATTCAACATGCTCCGGGGTCCTCATCCTAGGATGGGAAAGTGTTCGCCAATATTTAGAGCTGGGATTTCGACAATGATTGAAAATTTATCAGTTAGAAACTTCCAAGCTCATATCCCTTGATTATTGAAATCATAGAAACCGTTAAAAACGAGCAAAATATGCAAGTTGTAGTGCCCCAAAAATTTTTAAAAGTTAAAAAAAAACCGGTAAAAACCGGCCGGTTTTAAAAGTTCGACCGGACCGGCAACCGGCAAACCGGCCGGTCCGGTTCCAAGTATGAGGCGATGGCGAGATCGTAGACTGTCTGTCATGGTTTTTGATGGAGTCCCTGAGGATTTATCACGATGTGTGATCAGAAGGGAATGGTTCCCTTTTCTCGCTATATCCTTCAACACTTCTTTCATTAATTATTTATTTAGCGATCGTTAATCTTATTAATTAGATATTAATTATATATGTCTGTCACAGTCTGCACTTTGTGTCTGTGTATGTGCAAATTTCTATCCTATATACTTCAACACTCATTTTAGATTGTATTTCACAATAACATAAGGATAAAGAGAAACATTCGTCTAATGAATTTGGAATTTTAATATTGATTCATCAAGTAAATCGTGTACAATTATAGTTAGTTATTTTTATAAAGCAAGGCATTCTACGAAGAACAATTGATAACTTGAAAGAAATATTATTTTTTGCTCAAAGTATTGATATTCACGTTTTTACTATAATTGCATGTTTCACACATGGAAAAGTGACTCTTATAGATTTTTCCATACTAAAACATGTCCAATTGAAAACTTTGTTAATGGACTATCCATCCTGTAATCTTTCACTGTTAAAATATTTCAGCTCGAACGGTTGACGTGTTAGTGAATAATGACGTAAACATTGTTCCTAATCAATATGAAAATCATATAGTTATACAACAATTTGTGTTCAGTTTAGCTTACTGCTTTGTTAGTATCTTAAGAAAGAAAATATTATAATATAGGTTTCCGACTAATTGTGAAAGCTAGTACGAAGAACTACAAAATCAGATGCTTTTCGATTTCTAAGAAGTGCTTTTCATTAAACAAAACCACTTGAATTTCATCTAGACTGTTTTTCTTTTTTGTAGTTTTTCATTGATTTTTAGCAAATTTTGATTGAAAAAAGTAGAGTTTGAGTAAAAATAAATAAGATATTTGCAATCAATATAAGAAATGGAGTCGATTTATATATCATTTTAAAGTCTTTCAATAAACTTTTTTCATCTCTTGGTGGCGTTTTAAAGATTCAGAAGATGGTTTCCACTTATCAAATGATTCTTTAATCGAATTCATTTTTTCACTCAGCGCACTGTGAGGGCTTTAACTGAAATTTTTTTGAGAAAAAAAGTTTTTCTGAAAAACTTCCAAACGCATATAAGTTGACTTAATTTTTTATGTTGATTCCAAATATGTTATTCGTTTTGACTCAAACTGTATCTTTTTCAATCAAAGCCTGCTAAAGATCTATGAAAAATTGCAATAAAAAAGTGATGTCCTAACAAAATTCAAATCGTCTTATTTAACCAAGCCTACTTCTTCAAAAAATCAAAATGTATCCAATTTTGTAGTCATTCCTACGAGCCTTTAGAACCAATAAAAAACTCATCGTGTTGTTTTTTCCATTCTCAAGATATTAAGAAAACACTGAACACATATGACAATATACCTATGATTTTAATACTCATTTGAAACAATAGACTATACGATGGATAGTCGATAGAGATAGTTTTTAGTTCCACATGTCTTAGTATGAGAAAATTTACACGAGTCACGTCTCCATATATGAATCATGTATCTATAGTACAAAGGTGAATATCAATAATTTGATCAAAAATGGGTTTGAATGCTTTAGAAAGGGCTTCATTTTCTTATCAAAAGATTTCTTATGAAATTCTGCACTAGATAAACTATAGATGAAGAGACACTGAATATGGCCTCATTATGACGTTTATGTCCCCTTGCCTTTTTCAAACATGTTTATTTGATGAAACGATAACACATTGAGAGAAATGGCAAGATAACAATCTCAATTTTATATCCTTGGTCAAAAGAACATAGTTTTTTATTTTATCAAACTTTCTGTTTTGTTTTTCAATAACATTTTCTTATCAACAAAGAAAAAAAAATATCAGGAACATTTTTGACGATTTTTAAAATTATGTTATAAACTTTTCTAAGAAATTCTTCATCATCAAACAACGCATGAATCTCAATGTATAGTTCATAGAATGATTTTATCGTGTGAAAACATAATTTTCTAGATTTCATTAGAATAAAATTATTAATCATCTGTTTCAGCGCTTTGTTATTTTCTTTGAATACAACTACGAAACGATTTTGATAACGTCATGAAATTTCATTCTTTTCTTTTTTTTTTATAATAAACATTTTATTGTTAAAAACCGATCAAAAAGACAATACGTTTTTAAAAATCAATAAATGGAAATTTATAGTTAAAAAATTGTCGAAATCAGCAAGAAATTATTTCAAAAACAAAATAAATATTTATATATCAGTAACAATTCTTTGATGAGAAAGTTTTTAAAAAACTAGTCTCTACTTTATATTTTTTGTTGATTGAAAAAAATATTTCATTCTTTTTAAGTTATTATTTACTATACTTGAACTTCTAAATATTCTGTTGAATCCCATTCTCTAATCATTTACATAAGGCAAAAAAGAGAAAATTTAACTTAACATGAAGATCTTCTAATCTCAAAACTACAAAAATGTCTTGAAATATTTTTCTTTGATAGAAAATTCATTATTAACTAAGGTCAAAATTACTTTTTGGAAAAACAAAATGAGTACATTAATAACAAGACGATAGATAAAGTTAAAAAACAAGGGCAATGATGAAAAGGTTGATATTTGAGATAAAAGTACAAATATTTTAATATGAGTCTTATCTATTTATTTATTTATTTATTTTAGCCAAGGATGTGTGTATCTTGTCCAAAATGTTCTATATATTATCATATAATATGTTTATCAAAATATTTTCTTAAAAATTCTGATCAACATTATATTATTCCAATAGATGGTTCATGTCCATCTTGTAAAAAAAGTTTATTATGGGGTGAAATTATACAACATAAATATACGAATCAATTATTATCATTAACAACAGCTACATATACTAATGAATTGCATGATGAAGATATTATTCTCTAATATTCATATTAATCTCTATCTGTTTTTTTTTTAATTACTAATGGTTTTTTTTATTTTTATTATTCTTAAATTCTTGATTCTGTCAGATTGTTTCTTGTATTTTGAAAATTAAATTTCTTTTTCTTTTGGAATATAATGTATATATTTTTCTGCTAAAGTAAATATTTCATGCATAAAAATTTAAGCAAAGAAAGTATCAAAACGTATAATTTTTGTTTTAAGAAATATTTTATTGCTAAACATATTTACAAAAAAAAAACCAAAGAAAACACTTTTAGTGAATCATTAAAAATAATCATGCTTGTCTACAACGACAAACAAAAAAGAAAACAAATTAGATTAGTTTTATGCATGACTAAACAATTATTCATCTAATTATTATAGAAGATATCGAAAAAAAAAATTCTAAATTATTTTTAATAGTTAAATTCAAATGGAAAATCTAATAATCCATTTACAAATTTCCAAGATACTTCTGAAAATTATTAGTTTTCAGAACATGAAAAAAAAATTGATGTTTGTTAAATCATGATTATCTTTATTACTTTGATATTTAAATAAAAATAAGAAAACAAAAATGATTCACTCGTGAATTTATTTATGTACCATACGCATCAATCAACACCCACAATCAAATTTTACCATTGAGACATTAAAATAATATTATGTCAGGCATAGATTTTAATGAATAATATTGCCTTTAATAGGAAACATATCTTATTTATTTTGACGTAAAAAAGCAAATATTTAGAAATATTTTGGTCAATAATCCAAAGTACAAGTCTATTAAATCTCTCTCTATTTATAATAAATACATTAGCAAGTACCTGATAAAAAAGGAAACAAAACAAACATATGCTGATAGATAGATTATTAAAAAAAATAAGCAAAAGATCTTGCCAATCTTATTGAAGGTCAAAAAACAAATGATGGCACAGTCATTTTCTTCTTTTCTCCTAATACGCGGACATTTCTAAATTACGGACGTGGCGGGTACGATCATTATGACCTTAGTATGAGGTTCTTTTATTTTGTTGATTCATAAAAATAGAACAAAAGTGGTATAATCGTACTTCCGGCAAATTAAAAAAACTATTTATGGGATTGCAACGAATAATATATTATTTTTACTTCAATACCTCAAATATGAACTCAACAGTTAAATTACTTTATTGCTTACGAAAACATCTAATTAGCATTCAAGTGCATTTTTTTTACAATAAAATTTCATCATTAACACAGTTATTCATCAAAATCAATCACAATTGTAAAAAGAAACGTTTGGAACATAGATAAAAGATAAGTCATCCAATAATGACAAGTTAATGTTCTTGTCTATATTTATTATAGATGTTTGTTTTACAAAAAACAAAGGTTCGCTTTCTATCTATTTTAATGTAAAATTTTTATTTGAAGAAAAAAAACAAAACATAATCTGGTAGATAGAATCTTAGCTGGTGAAATGCGAGAATTCTCATCTGAAAAGTATCATGTACTTCTTTAGAACCAGGTCTAATTCTTTTTTTTTCTTATCACATAAGAGAATGATTTCCTAGATAATCTATCAAGATTCTTACATTTCATCTCCATCATTTGTTTAGATTTGATAAATCTTTTATTTGCACTGCAATTTTGTTATTATCATTGAAGTTATCACAAAGATTACTATCAATTAAAAATGACTAAAATAATAATATAAAAAGCACAAGTTCATCATGATCTTAATAAAATATTCATCAAGTTAATCATGAAAATGCATGAAAAAAACAAAACAAAACAATTTTTTGTTCCCAAATCAAATCAATTTGTTCACAGAACATGTTGATCGTAAAAGATTAATTGTAAAAATGATCGAAGAAATATATGTAGACAATTTGTTTAATAGAATTCTTAGAAACAAAGAAGAATTATCTATTTATTTTTTTTTATCTGTACGTTTGTCTGATTTTTACAATGTAACAAAGATCTTGACTGATCAATTAGAAAACAAAATAAAAATCTAGAACGAACACAATCAACAATTATGATTTGTATAGATTCTTTTATCAACACAAATCATTAACAGATGAATAATATTCAATGAAAATTTTCCAGACAGACGAGTAATAAAATCGAGCCGTTATTATGCATTAATGAGATTTTTAAAGATGTAAATAAAAAAAGAACAGCATTTTCTTAAAGCAAAGCATATTTGAAAACATTTTCTTTTACCCCTTCGTGTTTTTTTTTCTCACTAAAATAATATTTAATGTAAGACGAAGCGCTACATTTATGTCGTTCTTTGCGAGTTTTCTTTTTCTTTTTTTAATACTTCTCTCGACATCGGCATCAAAAGTCGTTTTTTTTTTTGTTCTATTATATTTATTATGAGAACGGAAACTTAAAAAATATTTGTTGAAACGTAAGAATAGAATTTCATCATCAAATTAATATCATCTGTTCTCTAATCTTCAATGACACGTTCTATTTTCTCACAGGAACTCACCCACAAAGACAATGTTAATTCTCAGCGTTTTTGCTTACATCTAAAACAGTTGTAAATACAGCTGATAAGCCGTATGATAATCAAGAGATTTTATCAATATAAACCATGCTGATATATGTTAATGCAGGTCTATTAGTGACAAATTTTGAAATAATTATTTCACAATTTCATTTTTTAACTTCGATCAATTAAGTGATCAAAATGTCACTTCTATGATTTATTACGACGCAAAAAAAGAAGCCTAATGCCAGCCAAATGTAAATATATTGTGACAAATAAGTATTTCATAATCAATAGTAAAAATTGATTTTGCGTTCTTTACGAAATATCGATGTTTTCAATAATCAATACTTCAAATTTCGCGCCGCGTTCGGCACTTAAGTAAAATTCGAATGTTCTCAAACAATCTACCAGGTTTAAATGTACATTTATTTGCTAAGAAAATATATTGATGGATTTCTTTTTAACATTTAGTCTCAATGAGTCCTATTTCGTGTTTTTGTTTTCATTATAATAGAGGTCACTGTAACCTAACTGCTTCTTCCTTCGATTTTTATAATATTGCCAGCATTCATTTCATTTTTGTTATAATAACCTCATCAGCTGAAATATACTGTTAAATATCATGAAATGTAAATTAATTATAATAACCAATTTTAATTTATTAATGTTCTTTAATTTTGATTCATAAAATATAGAAAAAAATTTCTTTAAGTTGAAAGAAACTTTTCACGCATGATTTTCTTTTAAAAACGAATCTTGTTTTGACCGTTTGATTACCGAAATAATTAATTAGGATTTTGCATTTTTTTTTCGTTTGCCTCTTTGAATTGGTTCTTTTTTGTTGCTTTGAACTTCTCCTTTTTTTTTTTTTTTTGATAAATATTTACGAGGAACATAACATGGGCAATACAATATATAACATGCTAACATACCACGCACACGCCATTAGAGTGTGTTTTAGTGAAGTGGCATTGTAATTAAGATATAGATGGTATAAATCATTGATCAAATTGCTTCTTTTTTTTTTTAATCTACCGATTATGATATTTTATATACAAATGCGCATACTCATAAACATCTTGATTTGATGAAAAAATAAAAATAAATGATGAACAGAAAACAAATAACAAACGAAAGAACATATCATAGATGAAACAAAAAAAACTACATTTTTTTCTTAATAAGTTATTATATTTGTTTCATTAATTGTATTTACATTATTTGATGGAGACTGGTGAAACATTTGTTTTAATAACGAGAAACATGTTACAGTCGTTGATGATATTGATTGTTCTGTAGAATTCGTTACAGTATTATTCGCTGTTTTTGAAGGAAAAAAATTTTTTAATAAATCATATTTATTTTTTTTTGAATCTTTTCGTAATTTATTTTGATTGTTTTGATAAGTATTTATATCGGTACTATTAACAAGACGATCGTCCATTTTTAATAAAAGTACAGATTGATCAAATATAACTGGAAAATAATCGAGTGTAAATGAAGATGGATGAAAATGTATAAGTGCACCACGTTGATATGAATATAGATCAAATTTATTAGGTAATAATGGTGGTAAATGATGATTTAGTAAAGCACGTAATTGTTCAATCGTTTTATCGGATGATATATTAAATGTTATATGAGAATTGTCAGATAATCTTTCAGCTGTTATTGTAATAGACTTCCTAGAAATAAAAAATAAATATAAATTTTATGGATATGTATATAGTTAAAACATAATAAGAAAGTCTTTTTTGTTTTTTTATTAATTGAAAATAATTTATTTGACTTTTATTTTATGTTTAAAAAAATAATAAATAATAAAATAACTTACGCTTCAACTTTTGTTCGTCGAGTTTTCATTGTATACTTAGATAGTTTATGATGTTGTTTTTTATCTATGTTTTGTTCATTCATAGTAAATAATCGATGTGTAATAGGAAAAATCAAGTGATTTTTGAATAACTACAACACCCCAAATGTATGTTAATGTATGACAGTAACTAATAAAGTAATCGTGTCTTTTTGTTGTTTTGATTATATTTTTTTCTCCTCCTAGTGATATTTTTCTTGTGCTCTATCACTTTTTTTGCCCTTCGTTAAAAGCGTAAATCTTGTAGTTACGATAAAATAACGAATAAAAGAAAAAAGAGCAAAAAAATGTTTGTTAAATAGGCCAAAATAATACGAGATAAAATACAAATAAATAGAATACTACTTGGTCTGTAGTTGAATATTTGATGACAATAAGTTTATCTAAAGAAAAGATAAAAGAAATTGTAGAAATATTATCATCTTACTATCAACTATGTATGTAAAATACTGCACAACATCGTGTATTTATTTTTTTTTACAGCGCTTTTACTCCATACATCGTTCTGTCTATCAGCGGAATGTTTTGACCCTGATGAGATGTAATCTTGACAGAAATATGAAAGAGAAAAGAAAAAAAAAACGCCTGGTACGAGTTTGTTGTGAGAAAACACAACACGCCGCGTAAAGCGCTACATTTAGGTCAATATGACCTATGAATAATCAATTCTCATAAATAAAGTTATAGAATTATTATTACTAATAGCGTCTGGAATGGTTTTTTGATTAAGATATATATATATATATATAATTTTTCCTGAACGAACATGATAACATGATGGTTCTTTTTTTTTATTTTCTTTATGTTTGTCTTGTCTAAAAAGGACGTTTTGATATAGACTATATAAATATTGTTTTTTTTTTTTATATTACAGACAAAGATAATGATTGTTTTGTTTGAATCATTTCATTGTTTTCAAGTAATATAGAAACATTATTAGTAGATATACGTTTGATGTAGTTTTTAAAGTCACTAGAACCTGAATACCTTGGTCTATGTAAAGTACATTAGTTTTCAATTAAAAAGAATTAGGTAATGGCATAATGACCTTGCAGTGAACGAGTATATCTACATTTGATTTATAAGTCCCAATGCAGATTTTCTGTTTTTCTGTCGATAAATAATATAGGATAATACGCAGTTGATTTTGTCGTGTTGAAATAGATTTACTGTTTGACATTTCTTCTTTCTTGTTTATGAGGACAAGATTGAACATAGAAAATAAAACTTCGCATATCATTTATTATATTAACTCAAAAAAAAAATCTGATTATATCAATAAAAATAATTTGTAGGTTTTTGTTTGACGGTATTTCAAGGATTTAATTAATTTTTTTTTTTTTTGTGTCTTGTTTTATTATGATGTTTGTTACAAAGGTAACATTTATTACGTATAAATAACTTCATAAATTATAAATCGACTCTTCTTTTCTGTTTGACAAAAATAACTCAACCATATAATTAGTTAGTAAATATGTTTGTTGATCAATGTTTGCATATTACACGAAAACAAAACTAACAATTTTTTTTTTGTCTAAAGATGAATACCTTATATTGATAGATGAAAATTCAAACTAATCATATTCATATTTAATCGACTGTCTCTTACTAAATATTCGTTTGTCTATCTAAGTTTATTTGAATACTTGTTTTTTTTTCGTTTCTAGAGAAAATCAACAATTAAAAACAAAAAATATTACTTGACAATAAAACAGAAAGTATATTCATATTAATTTTTAAAATATATGAATATGTATTTAATAATCGTACTATTCATTTAGAATTACTAAATTCTACAAGTATGATCTTTAAGAAAGAAAAAGAAATACCTTAGATAAGTAGATTAAAGAGTTAGTCATATGCATCGAACTAATGACAATTGTTTAGAAATTTATTAATACTAAAGTGAAATGATTGAATATATTTCAGACATCTATGATTAATAAATCATATTCGCTTTTTCTTTTTAGGAGTCGTCCATAAAGAACTTCCCGAAACAAAAAAAAACGAAAGAAGAAATTAGTTAAAACTGGACAAGTTCAAACTACGAAGAAGGATTAAAGAAAAAGCATTTTTTGATCAAATGTTCATTATAAATGGTTCCTTACAATGAAAATAGAAGATAGTTGGAAGAATTTCTCTATTAATCTAGTTTATTTTCAATTATCTATTTAAATATATCAACTAACAAGAAATAAAATAGTAAATTATTCTTTTTTTCAATCAAATAAAAACTTAATATTTTTATTGCTATTATACTATCATAAATAACATAGTACTTTTTAATAAATATACTTGATTTATTATTTATAATAATGTTGAATGAAATTTTATCTATGTAAAACATGGGCTCTCATGTCTCTTGCTTTACACTAAAGTACATCTTGTATCAATTTATTCAAGAATAAATTATCATGTATAATAAATTTAATAATTTTTTGCATGTTTAACACAGAATTCTTTACTTATTCGTTCTATAAAATCTTTCATTACTTTAATATATTACTTAGAATTGTTAATAAATGTTAGTAACTAGTAATGTTATTTGCAACTGATATAAAACAAATAATCTGCATACTACTTTTGTTCTTATCGATTAGCATAGTAATGAATACAATGCTATAGAGTTGTTGCTACAACACTAAAATATTTCGAATATCTTATTTGTTTGCTATATAATACATAGTATATAGAAATATTTGTTTTTAGTTCTGAAAATATTAATATTATGATCTAGTGATATTATCAATTATGATATGAATAGAATATATATATATATATGTCATTGGCATGTTTATTTATCCTTGTTGTTTCAAACAAATTTTCATATTTGATATAATTCTAAAATTCTGTTTTAGTAAAATAAATCTTGAAATATGAAATGAAATATTTAGATATGATGATGAAAATAGAAGAAAAACCTAACCTGAATATGATTAAATTGAAAAGAAACTAATATTGAAAAAAAAGAAAGAAACTTATTATATTATAGTCAAATTCAACTGATTTCACTTTTATTCATTCATGAATAAATTAAATAACAAAGAGAACGAGACACAAAACTAATGCATGTGAATAATTCTTATATTGATATAAAAGTAAATTTAATAACTAAAAAATTCGAATGATTGCTATAGAAATCGAACAAATTTAATTCATTTCATAGACACATACGCATATACATCAGCCATGCTTTATTTAAAATGTGAGTCATAGAATAACTAATTTTATTAGGTTTTTCTCTTTTGAACAAGAAAAAGACACAAACAAGCATTAATTAATGTATTTTCAGTTAACATTAGCACAATATAAATTAAAAAAAAACGAATTGAAATTGCTATTCAAACACTCAAATTTTATTCTATGACTATGATAACTAAAATTATTATTGTTATTTTATTTTGTTTTCGTTTTTTTTTGATAATTGAGAAAAATGAATAGTTATTCATTCACTGAGTTATTATAACTCACTAGGAAACATGCCCAGGTGAAGAAGCACTTTTCAGCCGGAGTTTTGCGCATCTTATAGCCCATAGTGAGCTATGCCTATGGTAAAAAAAGTTTGGGCTTTTGGCTTGATTCTGAGGAGATACCGAGCTCCTAGTGAATTTTCTCTATAGTATGCCTACATTGTTAGCAAAGCTATACTTCCGAATTTTGACCTGAAACTTTGTTTGCATAAAGGTCTCAGCTAGACTAGTTTGCATTACAAATTTCAGAAGTTTTGAACAAAGTCTCTCTAAGATATGAAGCTTTGAAAAAAAATGCATAGTATATATATTATTATGAAAAATGGACTATACCTTGATAGTTTCATATCTTAGAGAGAGTTTGTTCAAAACTTCTGAAATTTGTTATGCAAACTAGTCTAGCTGAGACCTTTATGCAAGTAATGTTTCAGGTCAAAATTCGGAAGTATAGCTTTGCTAACAATGTAGGCATACTATCGAGAAAATTCACTAGGAGCTCAGTATCTCCTCATAATCAAGCCAAAAACCCAAACTTTTTTACTATAGGCATAGCTCACTATGGACTACAAGATGCACAAAACCCCGACTGAAAAAGGGCTCCTTCACCTGGGAATGTTCCCTAGTCAGACTATTTTAATTGATGTTGCTTGACACAAGAGAAATAAACATACGAATACAGTCTTCTATAAATAGAATGTAATTAAAAGTACAATGATTAAAAGAATATTATGACTTAGCGAATGACTATTATTTTTTGTACCTTGATCTTTTGTTTTTATTATTATTCAAAACGAAAAAAGTTTTAGATATCAATAATAAAAGTCACTTGACCCTGTTGTATTATTTCTTTCAAATTTTTCTTTTTTTTGTTTTTCTTTAATCAAGAATCGCTTTTTATAATTACGTTCATGAATTATTCTATATTGATCATATTAATACGACTAAAAATCATTTTTATTTTCAATCATTTCACTAATAACTATTTATCAAATATAGCCGTAACTAAAGTATGCATAATGTAAAAATCAAGTAAATTTTGTCTTCTTACTTCTTTGTATACTATTCAATGCAGCATGAAAAGTTGCTCAGAGATGTATTATTTTCACACCGATTGATTTATGTTTTAGAGAAAAAAAAACAAAAGATTAAGAAAGCATGCAAAGAGATTCAAAACAGCTAAAGAAAAGAAAACAAATGTTTTCATTAAAAATATTCAAGATTTTTGTTACTTACATTTCAGAAATGTTTTACAAGGACTTTGTTTTTTTATTTTACAATTCAAAAAGTTATATAAAAAAAAGTTTGACATGAAAACGTTTTTTTAACATGTCTCTGTCGAATAAAATCATCCAAGTACACTATGATTGTATGCGTAGACAAATTCGTAAACGTTTCTAGGCTTTTATATTAGACGATAGAATCAGCTGTCATATCTTATTAAAATTATTAGATATTGACATTCAAACGTAAGCTATTAGATTGTCTAGATTATGCTTTATCGTTGAAAAAATCGGATTCTT